TCTTTCCCTCCCCTGTCATTTTCCACCCTCCAACCCTTTGTAAACAATCTATTGTTTTTAAGGAAAAAGTAAATTGAAAGAAATACCAGTGTTCTAAAGACAAGGTGTGGAACAAAGGATTCGAAGGTTTATTTTATCCTGAAGGGATAATTGTGGGTCCTTAAATTAGAAACAGTGAAACAAAGGACCTTCTCTGGTGGTAAGTGCTGTAGATATACTTGGAATAGAAGGGAATTGCTTAGGGTTGCCAGCTTTTTATCAAGTAAGAATGATAAAAGCACAATATCTCTTTCACATTGCCCTGTTATCCACATGGCATTTTGCACACTCTGAAATGTTTGCTTGCTTGTTTTCTGTCTATCCTGTTGAAATATAACATTTTAGAAGGGGAAAATCAGGACTCCTACAAATGTAAAATGAACAGTGTCTAAGATTGTATCAACAGTTTTACAACTGACTGAAAGGAGAATTGAAAGAACTCTCCAATTTCAGGCAATCAGGAAAGTTGAAGTGAATTTACATAAAGATGCAAAAAATGGTCAGTATCCACAGGGCTAGGATCAACTGCATTCCATTGGACAAAATTCATTTGCATTTCTATGGAGAAGAATCATTTGTGTTACTGTTGGGTTTTCTGCAAGTTAGAGAGTTGTAAAGGAGCTCAAAGACAAGGAAAGACACAGGTAGCCCGGAAGAGTGTGCTAGACAGGTCATTTGGTCATCTTGCTGAAGACGATCAGTCTTTTCTTACCTCTAGGAACCAGCAGAGCCCCCAGCCCTAGGCAGCAGGGATTGTGTGTCTCGTTAACTGTATCCCCAGGGCCTGGAATATTGTAGGTCCTTGGTGAAGATGACTTGAATGAACTGTTCAGTGGTGTTTTCCCTAAACTTCCTGTGTCTTTTTGGAGGTAAAAACAGTACCATACAAACAAAGTAATGTTATTAAATCCTAGCTAGATATAGGTGCTTGTGGAAAGCACTTACAAAGTTCTTTCCCCAAAAAGGGGGAGTGGGAAGATAAGATTAGTGTTAGAGACACAGTTTTACTAGAGATTTAGAAATGATTTAAAATCACATTCTAGCCCAGTGGGTCTCAACTAGGGACAGTTTCGCCCTCCAGGGACATTTTGCAGTGTCTGAAAACATCAGTGGAGGTCACAACCAGGGAGAAGGGGGTGAGCTGCTACTGGCATGTAGTGGATAGAGATGAGGGATGCTGCTAAACATCTTGCAATGCACAGGACAGCCTCTCACAGTAAAGAAATATTCAGCCCTGATGTCAGCAGTGCTGAGACTGAGAAACTGTTTTAGGGACTACCTAATGAATGCATTCATTCAGAGAGAATTCATTCAGAGAGAAGATTCTAGGCACCAAAAGAACTTCTCTCCCCAGCCTGAGTTTACCCAAAACATTTTCATTAAGTCATTGTTCCTGTTTTCCTTGACTCCGTTTCACCCTTTAGTGCCCCTGACTTCGTGTCCTCTTACCACCAACACTCTGTAAACAGCTGCAGCCAGCTTGGTGATCTGTGAAAATGAGGGTTCAGCATGGGCTGGACTGAGTCTCAAGATTATGGTCTGGGCCCAACATCTGTTGGTGAGGTTGGGTGACCTCTGTGAGCCTCAGTCTCTGATTTCTGGAAACAAGAGGCTAGACTATGTTGGTTTACCTGTCAAAGATCTTTCTGCTCCAGCTTTCTAGGGGTCAGTGGCTTCTTGTACCCGGGGCCTCTTGGATGGAGGCGGCTGTCAAAGGCCACAAAAGGGGCTGCTTCTCAGAAAGCAGGACCTGAGGTGACCATTCCTAGGACCACAGGGAGAATAAGGCAGGGCTGGGTCCGGAAGAGGGATGCTGTGCCCCTCCTCCCATCCTCATGCCATCACTGCCCCAGCTCTGCCGCTCTCCCCACAGGCTCTTTGCTATCTCACGCAAGCATCTGGATCTCTCTCGAGAAGAGATAAAAGCCTTTAAGTGCCTCCTTTCCTGAGGGATTGCCTTGCTGGAAGGGAGTCTTTTAAAGTGTCTTCTGTATTGATTATAAAAGTGCACTGAAAGAAATTTGGAAAATGCAAAGGCAATAAAAATCGCCTCTCTTTTCCTATGAAAATGTTATTACCTTTGGAGATTGAGGGGGCTCTTTGGTCTTTTAAAAGTGTATTTACTTAAAGAAAGACATTGTAAAAGTGATACCTGTTCACTAGAGAAAAAGCAGAAAGTATAGACAAAACATAAAGAAAAATTTAAGATCCACTTGGATGTACCACAGTAATGCAAAATGTTAATAAGGGAGACTGCTGGGTTTGGGGTGGGGGTGGATATGAGGTAAGGTGGGTATGGGATGGGATATGGAGCTCTCTGTACTAACTACTACAAAAAATAATCTAGTGACTGAATTATATTTCAAAAATCTACCTAGAATCTTTTTGTCCAGAGACCACCATTTGATAACACTGTGGTGTTCTTCCTTTAATTAGGAAAAAATATATATATTCATTGTAGGAGGAGGACGGGAAATTGTAATAGCCAACCTTGATGAGAATTGACCTTGTGGCATGCGCTGCACTAAGTGCTTTACATGTTCCTATTATTGCCCTGAATTCTTCCAACAATCCTGAACTGCCCACATTCTCCCTCTGTGTATGCACTCTGAGAATTGCTTTATGTGCATGATTGGCTCATTTAACCCTTCCAACAATCCTCTGAGGCTGGTACTATCCCCATTTTACAGATGAGGAAACTGAGCCTTGGCAGTTTGTAAGTTGCCTCTGGTTCTACAGTTGGGAGATGGTGGAAGTGATACAGGATCTCAGATGAGGGAGCCACTGTTATTACTGCATATTCTAGACAATGAGGGCACAGCCTGACAAGGGTGGCCACAGGTGGGCTCCACAAGGATCAGAGGGAGCTGGAAGATATTTGGAATCAGGATTAATAGGTACCTGGAAATGTCATGATAACTGAATCCATTGGTCACTGGAGGGCATTTTTCCTGCCTTCCGGATCAGGAAAGACTGGGCCTGGGAGCCCAGCTGAGTTCCTTCCTAATCACGTTGCTTTGTGCAGGCCACTCTGAGTTTCTGTTTCCTCACCTGTGAAATGGGTGTGACCATTTAGACTCAGCTGGCAGGGCTGGGAGGATTAAATGTGGGACTCTACGTGTGTTTTAGGTGCTTGATTAAAACAAGAGCTCAGGGCTTCCCTGGTGGCGCAGTGTTTGGGAGTCCGCCTGCTGATGCAGGAGACACTGGTTTGTGCCCCGGTCCGGGAAGATCCCACACATCGCGGAGCGGCTGGGCCCCTCAGCCATGGCCGCTGAGCCCGTGCGTCCGGAGCCTGTGCTCCGCAACGGGAGAGGCCACAACAGTGAGAGGCCCGCGTACCGCAAAAAAAAACAAAAAAACAAGAGCTCACATTTACTGAACACCAGCTGTGTGGGTGGACCTTGGATTAAAGGGCCACAATATCTTCCGTGTTGTCTGTTACCTTGTATGGTAGTGGAGTGGAGAAAGGGTTCTGAGGTGGGTGGGTGGGGGTTGAGAGGGGACCTTAGGGGAGCAGGTGGGAGGGGGTGGGGCCTCCTCTGATGCCATAATTGGTGGGTCAGGATGTTTACATTTCCTCCACTCAATGAGCCTTTACTGGGCATTGACTGTGTGTGTATCATGCTGTGCACCTAGCACTGTCCTAGGTACAGGACGCAAAGCAGACCGGGTCTGTTAGCCAAAGAATGCTGTTTTCCCTTCAAAGGTGCCATGCAGCAACGTCTAATGACATGCTTTTCTTGAGGAACTTCATCGGAACATGAGATAAGTCACACTTCTTGGTTTGGGATCCACTGCACCCAAGGCCCCAGACACAGACACTTGGTGGCTTTGCCCTTGTTCATCGCAAACAAAAGGCACCCGCATCCCGCATGAAATGTACTAGATGTACCTACTTCAAAATTTCCTTTAGTTGCAGTAGGTTAGTTTATACGGTGTTACATTTTGAGGCTCTTTCATTACATATGGATTTTTAACTTCCCTCCCTCCTTCCTTCACCACTATTCATCTTTCTGTTCTTAAAATTCTATCGAGTCCTTGGAAAGTTAGTGGATCCCGGACACTGTGTAGGAGAGGATGTAGGTGCAGATGTTGGTCTGGGTGACTGAGAGGGTACGTGTGTCAGCCCCAGAGGTAGGTGAAGGAGTGTGTGTGAGAACGAGGGTGTGCAGGTGCGTAAGTGCATGCTGTGATTGTGAATCTCAGGGGTCCAGGTGGGAGAGTGAGGGTAGGGGATGGTTAAGGATGGTGGGTAAGGGAGTCCGGAGAGCAGAGTGAGGTAGAGTGTGGATCCCGGTGTGACTGTGATTCCTGGGGGCACACGTGTGTGAGGCCTGAGATCCAGGGCGGACGAAGGTGACTCATGGGCGTGAGTGTAGCAGGGTGTGTGCGTGCAGGTGTACGTGTGTGATTGTGAAGATCGGATGCTGGTGCGGAGTAGGCAGGTGAGAATGAGTGTGCGTGTGTGTGTGTGCGCAGGTCGCGTGTGAACGCGCAAGGGTGAGCCCCTGAGAGGACGGAGGCCGAGGGAGGGTGGCAGTGTGTGCGCGTGAAAGTGGTGTCGGCTGGGGGCGGGGATCGGGCGCGCGCGCGTACGGCGGGGCGGGGGCGGGGGGCGCGTGGCCGGGGGG